CGAGCCAGTAGAGGCCAGCGTGGGGTGGAGGAGCGGGCGGTGAGGTGAAGCTCCTGGAAGAAGGACATTGCTCTCGGTGGCGTGCTCGCGTGGACCCACGCATTTCTCTGCGGCGCGCGGACCCGCGGCGTTTGCCACGCAAGGCGCTGACCCACGTTGTTTTCCGCGCACTGTGTAGACCCACGCGTTCTTCTGCGCGACGCGATGACTCATGTTTCCGCGCCCGGCGCTGACCCACGGGTTTTTCGGGGCGGCGCGGCCATCGCTGTGGTGTTCTGCACAATGCGTTGACCCACGTCTCCTTGTAGTGCGCTGACCCACCTATTTTTCCGGGCAATGCAATAATCCGTGTGGTTTTCCACGCAATGCACTGGCCCCATCTCTCCAGGAAGCCACAGCCTCCGTGGGTTGAGGTGGGATGCACTGGGGACCCCCGTGCTCCCCCCTAACCCGCTGCCCCCCTCACCCTCCCTCCCAGATCATGTTTGAAACCTTTAACGTCCCCGCCATGTACGTCGCCATCCAAGCTGTCCTCTCCCTCTACGCCTCCGGCCGCACAACCGGTGAGTAGGACACGTAGCATCCACCGCCCGGGGACCACCCGTGATGGGGAAAGGACCAAGCTGGCTTCCAGCCCCCTCCCTCACCTTCCTCCCCTCTTCCCAGGCATCGTCCTCGACTCCGGGGATGGCGTCACCCACAACGTGCCCATCTACGAGGGCTACGCTCTGCCCCACGCCATCATGCGTCTCGACTTGGCCGGCCGTGACCTCACCGACTACCTCATGAAGATCCTCACCGAGAGGGGCTACTCCTTCGTCACCACGGGTACGGGGCCGGGGCGGGGGGTGACGGGGGCCCCCGCAGTGCTGCTTGTGGCCCCGGATTGAGCCTGTTCGCCATCGTCTCCCGCAGCCGAGCGGGAAATCGTGCGCGACATCAAGGAGAAGCTCTGCTACGTGGCCCTCGACTTCGAGAACGAGATGGCCACGGCTGCCTCCTCCTCCTCGCTGGAGAAGAGCTACGAGCTCCCCGACGGGCAGGTCATCACCATCGGGAACGAGCGTTTCCGCTGCCCAGAGACCCTCTTCCAACCCTCCTTTATCGGTAAGCCCACCCCGAGTTGTCCTGGCTGTCCCCTAGATGGTTGCCTCTTTCCCCACCCCCCCACCAGCAGGCAACCAGCTCCCATGAGTGCCCCACAGAGGCATTTCGAGGCTCCCCCAAGCTCTTTGCACCCCAAATAGGAGGGACAAGCAATGGGTGAACCTGTGGCTCTTTTGGGGAGCCCTGATGAGGTATGGGTGGGGGTCATGGTGCTGACAGCCCCTTTCCACCCCCAGGCATGGAGTCAGCCGGCATCCACGAGACGACCTACAATTCCATCATGAAGTGCGACATCGACATCCGCAAGGACCTCTACGCCAACAACGTGTTGTCCGGCGGCACCACCATGTACCCCGGCATCGCCGACCGCATGCAGAAGGAAATCACGGCGCTGGCTCCCAGCACCATGAAGATCAAAGTAGGTGGTGGTGAGGGAAAACCATGGCCCCCAACACCCCAGATCCTCTCCTGGTGCAGGTTTTGGGGGGGGTGGGGAAGGGGATCGGGGGCTGCATCCTAACGGCTCGTGTCTCCGCAGATCATCGCCCCGCCGGAGCGGAAGTACTCGGTGTGGATCGGCGGCTCCATCCTGGCGTCCCTCTCCACCTTCCAGCAGATGTGGATCAGCAAACCCGAGTACGACGAGGCCGGACCCTCCATCGTCCACCGAAAATGCTTCTAAGCCCCCTCCCCGCCCTGCAGCGGCCCCCCCT